TTGCAGCTCAAAAAAGTTGTAATCTCAGCTAAGATTTGAGGGGTATTTATAGGCCTCAAGAGGATTCAAATTTTGGCTCCAAAATTTGAATTCTCTTTGGGTTCCCGATGTTGGCGGTGCCACCGCCTGTCAGTGGCGGTGCCATCACCTGTCAGTGGCGGTGCCACCGCCTATCACTGTCAGACATTAACAGTGCTGGGCGGTGCCACCGCCCAGCTCTCGGGTGCTGGGCGGTGCAACCGCCCAGTCTGTTTGGGCTTCAAATTTAGCCCAAACCAATTCTAATTTTGGGCCCAGTTGGCCCCTAACCAGGATATAGGATTATCTCTTAATCCTAATCCTAATTACAAGTGAACTACATAACAAAACACTCCTAAGCAAGTTTTCAATCGCGAACGTCGAGTCTTGTTCCGGCGAGCTTTCCGACGAACTTCTTCCGACGGACTCCCAGCAAGCTCCCGAACTTGTTATGACTTTAATGAGTAGCCGAGCCTTCTCGGTGATCTCCACGAACCTCCGACGATCTCTTCGGGAAACTTCCGAAAATTCCGATAGGTTCCCGATTTCTTCTCGGTTGGTTCCGGCAGCATCTCCGACGATTCTTCGGACTCTTAAACGTCCATCGAACTTGACTCCGGTATTCTTGCTTTGTGTTTTCTGGTTATCGTAGTTAATCCTGCATACTTAACTCAATAATATGGATTAGATCAATTAACCCATCAATGGATTTTATCATCAAAATCCGAGATTCAACAGGGTGAAACGCCGTGGGGCTTGGCAGGAAACTCCTTTTTGAACGGCGCACAGCGAGGTGATGGGATGGCGATGGTGGGGTTCCGAGGTGGGCGAATCTAGTAGATCCAAGGGGTTGTAACGGGTCTTAAATGTCACAACTATTGCTCTCCTTGGGAAGCCCTATCCGTCGCCTTGCCATGGGTCGCACCCATCATATAGTCTCCATCCAGGGCGGTTATCATCACTCATGCAATCAATCCTCTACTTCGTGCTTCAACTCCTTCCTTGCAACCTTGCTGTGCTCTTTGGTTCAACTCTAGCCTCCGACGACCAGGCTCCTTTCTCGCGACTTTGAGGTCGGGATGTCTTCGTCTTCGTCTTCGTCTTCATCTTCCTTCTCGTCCCCCCTTCCCACTCCTTCTGCCACACCTTGTCCTTCTCCTTCGACGAGTTCTCGCGATGAGGTGGTGAGCGTATCCTCGAGTAGTTCTTCACCAGGGATCTCTGAGGGCACTACCAAGCTGGAGGCCTTGAAGTCCCTGAATGATGTGGACTCGGTGCTCACCGAGGACCTCTTGAGATTGCTCTGGGACCGCTATCGCATCCGGAGCATTACCGCTTGCACGCCCCTTGTCCGGGGCAGTGGCCATATGACCGGTTCCCCAATGGATTCGTTCTTACGGTGGGGGCACTCGAAGATGGCCTGCGGTTTCCTGTGCACCCTGTCATTAGGGATTGCCTTTACTTCTGGGGGATTTCCCCATCCCAGGTATTGCCCAACTCTTGGCAGTACTTGGTGGCACTTATCTGGGAGTGTCGGGGGGTTGGGATTGAACCATCCCACCCTTTATTCCTGACTTGCTTCTGCCTGGGGAAGGGGCCAGGCGGATATTACCTAACCGCTCATAGTAGTTTCAAGATTAGCGACGCGCCCTCCAACAACAAAGGTTGGAAGAGACACTTCTTCTTCATCAGCTATGATCAAGAGTGGGGTTTCAGCACCGGGTGAGCCATTCGGTCCATTGATAACATCCTCCCTTCGCTCCTTGCTGGTGACACAACGCTGGTGGTCCATCTGAGGAGCATCATGTCCTCTTCTCGGGTAATAAAAGAGATGACTGAGGAGTCGATGGTTGGAGCTGAGCTGAGCCCCGCCACTGGGGGTATGGCTATTCGCATATAACGGCTCATTTGTTCATTCCATGTCGTCTGACCGCTATCTGTGTTTGCAGAAATGGTGGACTTATGATCAATGATGAGGACGGCCAATACTAGGGCCGTCGAGCCCCGCCTCGAGACGGGGAAGGCTTCGGAGGCAAGATTGTCCCGTTGGAGGGGACCTCGAAGAGGGCGCCGAAATCACTGGCAACGGAGTGCCCTCCCAAGAGGACAAAGCTAGCGGTCCGGAAGACGCCAGCCAATTGAGCCACACGCTCGAGCGCCCCCCTAGCATCATCTGGGACCTCTGTCCAAGGAGAGGGCACGGGGAGTGAGAAGGGGAAGGGGTTGGCCGGATCATCTAGTAACGACCCTTCAAGGAGGGGGCCGACATTCCCCCTACCAGTGCGGGAAATGTGTCACGTCTTCTCGTGGCCCGAGGGCGGGCAGTTTGAAGCCCAACCGATGGCCGACCTTCCGTTCAGGGAGCCAGGAGCCCCTTACACTGCCCGGTGGTCGTCTTTGAAGGCCGACAGCCGACCCTAGGCTGACGGAGAGACCGCCCAGGAGTTCGTCTGAGGGGCACTACACCCCTCGTTGGCCAAGGAGTTGTAAAGCTCTGACTCGAAGGTGCTAGTGGAGGGGGCGGCCAAGTCGCTCGTCCAGGTAAGTGATGGTCTTTCCTTTTCTTTGCCTCTTTGCTTCGTGGATGTTGACAATGACTTTCATGCAGGGCCTGCATTATGGGATGGCGTTGATCGACTGGGTCCTTGACGTCGGGCAGGTGATTGGGCATCAGATGGACCTCAACAACGCCCTCCAGAAGGTGAACCTGAAGTTGAGGGCCAAGGGGGGTGCGGAGGTAGTTGCCGCGGCCGAAGGGCACGCCACGGTGTTGGAGGGGGAGGTGGCTTGTTTAAAGGCCGAGCTTGAAGAGAGCCGGTCACACATCCGTTCGTTGGATGACGAGCTGTTGTCCCACTCCCAAGGCGTTGAGGCCGCCGAGGCGGTGGCCTAGGCTACCGAAGAGGCGCTCGAGGAGGAGCATATGAGGTTTCTCGGGAGGGTGGAGGAAGCAGTCGTCGGGTACAAAGCGTCCGCGGGGTTCGAGCGCGGCCTGGTGAGGTCAGGCCGGGTCACATACGAGTATGGGTTTCGGGTGGCTTGTGCTAGTTTTCGGGTGAAGTTCCCAGACCTGGACCTAGAACCGGACCCATTTTCCGATGACCCTGCGAACCAAAACATCGACATGTCGGCTAATGTGCCTTTTGACGATGGGTTGCCGACTCCTCCTTCGGGCTAGGGGCTACCTCCCCTTGTTTTGGTTTGTCTTTCCTTCTTTTTCCTTTTGTCTGGTCGGGCCCGGGGTCGGGTCACCCAATAGCTATATGTACATACTTTGCCATCAAGAAGCAATTTCTTTTTGGAAACCCTGGCTTATTCATCTACTTTGACCGCGTATACGCGGGCTCTCCATACCTTTATTGTGTCCCAATCAACTCTTCACCCCTCAAGGGTAGAATTTCTTCAAGTTCACGACATTCCACGTCCTCGGGAGGGGTCTTCCCTCCATTGTTTCGAGCCGGTAGGTACCTTCCCACACCATGTTGTAGACTCGGTAGGGGCCTTCCTAGTTGGGTGCAAGTTGTCCCCTTGCTTGGGCCGAATTGCTCACTTCTGCTTTTCGGAGGACGAGGTCCCTGACTTGAATTGGCCGCGGACGGACCCTCTGGTTGTATATCCGAGTGGTCACTTTCTTGTATGCCAAGGTGCGCAGGTGTGCCATGGCTCTTCTCTCCTCGAGGAGGTCCAAGTTGGCCCGTAGCCCCTCCTCCGAGTGCCTTCGCTCATAGTGGGAGGTGCGCAAGGTCGGGAATACCATCTCGGGCGGAAGAACTGCTTCAGTCCCGTAGGCTAGGCTGAATGGGGACTCTCCCGAGGCAGCTTTGGGGGTTGTTCGCATTGCCCATAGGACGCTGGAGAGCTCGTCCACCCAGGCCCCACGCGTGCTTGAGATTCTCTTCTTGAGGCCTTCAATTATTGCTCAGTTCATCACCTCGGTCTGACCGTTGGTCTAGGGGTGTGCAACCGAGCTGAACTTCAACTGAATCCCGTAGGACTGGCAGTATGTCTTGAATATACTGTTGTTGAACTAGGTCCCATTGTCGGTGATGATACCCCTCAGGATCCTGAACCGGATGATGATGTTCCTCCATGTGAAGTTCTGAACGTGCCTCTTGGTGATGGAGGTCAAGGGTTCGGCCTTGACCCACTTCGTGAAGTAGTTGACCCCGACTATGAGGGAATGTCGCTGACCCGACGCCGGAGGGAAAGGCCTGAGGAGATCGAGCCCCCATTGGGCAAAGGGCCAAGCCACATCAATGGGGGTTAGGGGGACTACCGGCTGGTGTGGCAATCGGGCGCGCCGTTGGCACTACGGGCACTGTTGTGTGTACGTCATGGTATCCTAGTGCATGGTCGGCCAGTAGTACCCCTACCGAAGGGTCTTGAAGGCCAAGGTCTACCACCCGACATGCTCTCCACATATTCCCTCATGGAGCTCAGCGAGGACGGCTTCAACCTCCACAGCGCAAGGCAACGCAGGAGGGGTTGAGAGAATGCCCTTCGTTACAATCTTCCACCGATGATGCAGTACCCCGCTTGAGCTCGCCTCAGTCGTCTTGTAACCGCGGAATCGTCGGGCTCTTTCCCACCCGCCTTGAAGCGGAGGATCTCTTCTATCCAATTCGGAGGTAGATTTGTTTTGGTGACCTCGTGAGTTGGTATGGTCGGGACCGCCATGGACTCAGTGGTCGGGACCGACTCAAGGGTGCGAGTGGAGGCTAATTTGGCTAGTGCGTTGGCCCGTTCGTTCTGTGCCCGAGGTATTATGGTGACTGAAAAGTGATCGAAACAGCGGGCGTGCCACTTTACCTCCATTAGGTATGATATCATCGTGGGGTCTCGGGCTTCGCAGCTCCCATTGATGTGTCCCGTCACCAGTTGGGAGTCACTGAAGACTTCAAGATCGCCCACATGTAACTCCAGAGCGAGATGCAGACCGTGGAGTAGCGCCTCGTACTCAGCTTCGTTATTGGTGGCCCGAAATTTTAATTTGAGAGATCTTTCATAGGCCTCTCCTGACCGACCTCTGAGGACGAACCCGACCCCGGCCCCCTCGGAAGTGGAAGAGCCATCTATGTGCAACGTCCACGTGCCCTGGCCACTTTGCCGCCCTACAGCGCGGTACTCAGGCGCCAGCTCGGAAATGAAATCGGCTAGCACCTGAGCTTTAATGGCTGTCCTGAGGGAGTACTAGATGTCGAATTCGTTGAGCTCGACCGACCACCACAGAATGTGACCCGATGTATCAATGTTGGAAAGGGTCTACCGCAGCAGTTGGTCAGTGACTACCTTGATTGTATGAGCTTGGAAGTAGGGCCACAACTTCCGGGCTGTCAGGACAAGGATGAGAGCCAGCCTTTCAATCGGGGGGTATCGTATTTCGGGCCCTCCGAGGACATGGCTGATGTAATGCATCGGCTGTTGCATCGGTGGTACCTCCCGAATTAGCACTGAACTGATAGCTTGTGGTGAGGCCACTAGGTAGAAGCCAAGGGTCTCGCCTAGCTCAGGCGAGGTGAGTCGAGGCAAGTAGACGAGGCATTCCTTCAACTTCTTGAAGGCCTCCTCGCATTTCGGGGTCCAAGTGAAGCTGTCGGCCCATCACAGAACTCAAAAGAAAGGGAGGCTCTTGTCGCTCGAACACGACATGAACCTGCTGAGCGCTGCCAGCCTCCTGGCAAGTCGCTGTACTTCTTTGGCCGAGCGGGGGGAGTGCATCTCAGTAATGGCGCGAACTTTCTCTGGGTTGGTATCAATTCCCCATTGGTGAATGATGAAGCCGAGGAACTTCCCTGAGCTGACCCCGAAGACGCACTTTGCTGGGTTCAGATGCAGGTTGAACTGTCTAAGGGTTTGGAATGTTTCCGCCAGGTCGGCCAAATGTGTCCCTGCGACCTTGCTTTTTACAATCATGTCATCTATGTACACCTCCATGTTTCTCCCGAGCTGTTGTTTGAAAAGCTTGTCGACCATCCTTTGGTAGGTCGCGTCGGTGTTCTTCAGGCCAAAAGGCATTACTTTGTAACAGTACGCCCCCTGATTGGTGACGAAGGTAGTATCTTCTCGGTCTTGGGTCGCCATCCAGATTTGGTTGTAGCCGGAGAACGCGTCCAAGAACGTAAGGCGTTCATGACCGACGGTGGCATCGACCAACTGGTCTATCCTACAAAGCGAATAGCAGTCCTTGGGGTATGCTCGATTGAGATCAGTATAATCAATACACATTCTTCAACTTCCATTAGGCTTTCTGATGAGGACTATATTAGATAACCACCGGGGTACTTAACCTCGGCGATGAACCCAGCCTTTATGAAGCGATCGGCCTCGTCTCGGATCACCCTCTGCTGGTCGGGGGTGAACCTTCGAAGCTTTTGCCTTATCGGTCTTTCCCCAGGGTCGACGTTGAGGCGGTGTTGCGCCACCTCCAAGTCAATCCCAAGCATCTCCTCGGGGGACCAGGCAAATTGGTCGGCGTTCTCCCTTAGGTAATCGACAAGGTGAAGCCGGTCTGCTTCGGGGAGCGCAGTCCCGATTCTAATGGTTTGGACGGGTCTGCCCCGCTTCAAGGGCACTTCGATAAGCGATTTCGGGGGCTCCAGCGTCATTTGTGATACAGATGCCTCACGGGGGTCGGGAACCGTCGTTGGGCGAGGCTTTGGCGGGAGAGCGACTGTGGTGAGGTAGCATCGCCTCGACTCCCTTGGGTCGCTCCAAGCCCCCCCAATCCCTGTCGAGGTTGGGAACTTGATGGTTCTGTGATAGGTGGAGACCACCGCTTGGATCCTGTTGAGGGTCGAGCGACCGAGGATGACATTATAGGCTGATGGTAGGTCGACCACCATGAAGGCGGTCATTAATGTTTTCATCCTCAATTCCTCCCCAAGGGTGATGGGGAGCACCGTGGTTCCGAGCGGGGAGATGGAATCTTCGATGAATCCTGTAAGAGCTATCGTCATAGGGGTAAGGTTTTCCTAGGTCAAACTGAGCCTCCCGAAGGCATTAAAGTAGAGGACGTCGGCAGAACTCCCCGTATCAACCATCACCCTCTTGACTCGGGTGTTGGTGATTTGGACGGAGATCACCATAGCGTCGTCATAGTGGGAGCGCTCGACCTCTCCTGCTCCAAAGGTAATTGTGGGCTCGTGCTCAGGCCGGGGATGCTTCTCCACCACGCTGCGTGCGTAGGCCTTTGTTGCTGTCGTGCTAGTGCCACCGGCTATCAGCCCGCCAGAGATGACCTCATTCTATCTCTCGGGGGGCCCTCTACGGCACATAGCCGCCTCCCGGGACTTGAGATAGCATCCT